CATTTTTTCCTTCCACTACCTTTTGGGAGAGTCTCTCCCTGCTTTCTGATTCCATTTCCCATTATTTAACTTTATTTTGGTATCCCAACTTGGCCAGTGCTGAGACTCCAAAAAAAGTCTTAATTTCCTACTGAAAGCTTCAGGTAGGTGTTCCTTTTCAATGTTCTCTCTCCAATTACAGGCCATAGAATTTCCTCAGAAGGCTTTTCTGGCTGCATTTTTTATCTTTCACCACAAACATGAAACATTTTGCAAACACACACAGAGACAGAAAGACTTTGACGGTACAAAGTGTGCTTGAATGTGATTTTCTTGTTGCCTTTTTCAGCGTAGTTCATTTTGAAGAGAAACCAATTTAGAATCAAAATTCAGCATGTACCAATTTTTGCATTGCTTTGACCAGTGAAAATTCAAAGTTATCACTTGCCAATTTACTCTAACTGACCTATAGCCAAATACAGGCTATGCTCTCAGAGAAGGCCTGTCTTGTGACCCGGGACCCAAGAGCCCCTTGGGGAGAAAAGAAAAGGACTGCAATGGATGAGAAGAGTCCATTAGATAAAGAGCAGGGATTTGGGGGATAAGACACACCCACCCTTCAAGGCTGAGACTTTATGGGAAAAAAGTCCTCTTGGCACTGTTGGGGAAAGAGTATAAACTTCAAATCCCAGTCCAAAACCCTAGTCAAAGGCACCATTTCTTGTGAACTCCCAAAAACAAACCCCAATTTTGAACACAGCCAGCTCTAAGAAAGGGACAAACGAAATTGGGGTGCCTGTGTTCACACTTCAGTTTCTCTCAAGCTGTATTCAAATGCATTGCATGGGAGTTCAGTCCAAAACTGGGCTGACCAAGGGGGTCAATTCAGAATTGGCTTAAATTGGACTTTTTGGGGTACAGATTTACCTGCCCTTTGAAGAGTAGGTGTTCCTATGGACCAATTTCTCTAATGAATATAGATGCAAAAATTTTAAACAAAATACTAGCAAACAGATTGCAGCAGCTTACCACAAGAATAATACACTATAACCAAGTAGGATTTATACCAGGAATGCAGGGTTGGTTCAATATCATGAAAACTATCAGCATAATTGAGCACATCAATAACAAAACCAATAGAAACCACATGATCATCTCAATAAATGCAAAAAAGCTTTTGATAAAATACAACACCCAATCCTATTAAAAACACTAGAAAGCATAGGTATAAATGGAGTTTTCCTGAAAATAATAAATAGCATCTATCTAAAACCTTCAGCAAGCATAATATGTAATGGGGACAAGCTAGAAGCATTTCCAATAAGATCGGGGATGAAACAAGGATGTCCATTATCACCACTGTTATTCAATATTGTACTGGAAAACTTAGCTTTAGCAATAAGAGACGAAAAAGAAATTGAAGGCATTAGAATAGGTAAAGAAGAAACAAAGCTATCACTCTTTGCAGATGACATGATGATATACTTAGAGAATCCTAGAGAATCAAGTAAAAAACTACTTGAAATAATAAACAACTTTAGCAAAGTTGCAGGCTATAGAATAAACCCACATAAATCATCAGCATTTCTATATTACCAACAAAGCCCAACAGCAAGAGATAGAAAGAGAAATCCCATTTACACTTAGTGTAGACATTATAAAATATTTTGGAGTCTACCTCCCAAAACAAACCCAGGAACGCTATGAACACAATTACAAAACACTTTTCACACAAATAAAATCAGATCTAAATAGTTGGAAAACATCATGCCGGGAGCGCCTGCGTCCCTGGCTGTGCTCTGATGCCGGTAGAGTGTGAAGAAAGAATCACGGGCCAAGTGAGAGCAGTGAAGAACAAACTCTGTTTATTGATCTGAGGTCTCAGGCTTATATAGTACTGGATCAAGCAATAGTAACATTAGTATTCGTGAAAAGTACAAATCTAATTAAGTGATTTCTTTACTTCCTTGCACCTTGTCTATTACATTCTTTCCTGCATCCTGTCCTGTACCCCATCCGTTTCCTCCCTTCCTGCATCCTGTTCTCAAGAGAAGGAACGGGGCGGGGGGGGTGGTGAGCCGACATCCTGAGTTTCACAGCTGTCAGGCTTAGTACAAGCTATAGGTAAGACCCGGGCTGGCCTAAGCCCTCCAACTCCCCAAAGCCGGCCCTCTACATTTCCCCCTTTCTTCTGTTGTAGCTTGAGAACGTGGGATGCACATCAGGAGAAAACTCAAGAGTAACAAGAATACTATCAGGGTAGAAAATGCAACAGCAAACTTGAAATATTCTGGAAAGTGTTAAGTTCCTTGATATAATACAATAGCTTACAAACAATATCTTGAGGATCAATACCATCCATGTTATATTTTTGGAATGCCAAGCACCCTGAAGCCTATTCAATATTTGATCAGGAGTTACATTGGTAGTATTAGAAAGGAAATAGGGAGTTGCACCAACCAAAGTATAGTGGTCAAGTTACAGGTTTAACCCAAGGTGGGGCAAGGCATATAAGTCCAATGTAATCATGACTCCATCACGGAGCCATCCGCGACAGTCATCATTGCAAAAAGGACAGTCAGCATCTTAGTATTGGCTCTTCGTCTTCTCGGTCTCGCCTTCCTCCTCCGCTTGTCTCTCCGACCAGTTTTTCCTTTGATGCTCAGGGTCTCTATCCCTCTGGTCAGTATGCTGACAGGTGCAGATGTTCGTCTCGGGAACCCAGACTGGTTCTCTCATGTTCTGGAAAAATACAAGCATAACCTCGACCCCAGATTAGTAATTTTACTGGACCATCCCAATTATCCATCTTTGGATCCTTCCACATTACTGTGACATCTGGTTGCTCATCTAACAACCTGTCCTTTTGCCCTGCAAAATGTTTTTGCAGTAGTACGTCCCTGATCATCTAGTGTTAAAAATTTTATGGTATGTATTACCTGGTCCAATCTCCTTTTTACATTTTTGGTATATATTACCTGATCCAATCTCCTTCTTACCCTATTTTCTATTCCCTCTTTTTTCTGCTTATCAAGGAGGATTTTAATATCCTTGTTGCACCTTTCAACAATGGCTTGTCCAGTAGGATTGTACGGGATGCCAGTAGAGTGAGTGATATTATAGATGAGACAAAATTGTGCAAAATTCCTGCTAGTATAGGCAGGACCATTGTCAGTCTTGAGGTGTCTTGGATTGTCAAGAATATTAAAGCAAAACAAGAAATGGTACTGCTTATGTCCTTCTTAAAAAATGTAACTAATCCAAAATATCTGCTTGTCTTCATATGACATTCATCTTTCCCTCACTTTTTTTTTTGCACATACTCTGACATGTACACTGTAATTACACTTAAAAAAACATGAATCACACATTGATATGAAATAAAGGAATTTTAGAATAAGACTCTCCCTAACGTGTAATTGTTCAGTAGAAAAATAGCCAACTAAATATGATTAAGTAGTTTTTAGAACAGCATAAATTTAAGTAGCTAAGAAATCAGGTATGTATAGAAATGTGTTTAAGGTTATGCTTCTTGGCAGAAAACACAGAAATAACTAAGTTTCCTATCTGTAGTCAAAAAAAGATTTCCTAATGGTTTAATTAATAAAAATTATTTTCTACTCTAAAATGTTATTTTAACTACTGACCAGGCTATGACAAATTTATGCTGGATTTATGCTGGGGAGTTAGGCAGTAGAACTCTGAGGCAAAGCAAAAGAATTTCTTTAGTTATCTACTGAATTCAAGAGGGTTTTGTTGGGCAAGGGTAAAAATATATTTCTAAATATTCAAAGACAAATAAATGTCCCCCTTTACCACTCTTGCTTGTTTAATTTGCTTGTAAATCCTCTCAAAGAACCACCAGGACAAATGAAAGCCTAAAAATATTGCTATTAATATTCTAACAAAGTCAGAATGAAGAATTTTTTAAATCAAAGTTCTATCAAAGATACATTAAAAAGGACTTATGAAGTTACAGCCTTTTATATACTGTAAAATATATTAAGATTTTAGCTATATTAGAACTAGTACTAAGGAGCTGATTCACAAAATTTACAAGCTACATCTTACTGGAAATTTTAGTATACATACAGTGCATTAGACTGTGTTCAGCATACAAACTGCTCATGTCAAATTTCTAAAGCAGAGAGTTTATTTACTGCTACCCTTGAAGTTTCCTCCCCACCTGATTAAGAAAACAGGTTGATTTGTTTTCTAATTATTGATATAACTTACCTTCTTAAATAATTTTCCTCTTTTTTGAATGCCAATGTAATTTTAAAGTTACTTAAATGGTGGTTGTAGATAAAATAATACAAGCTTTTTTTTTCTAGAATTACCATAAGATAGAACTCTGGATTTACAAACTGATCTGGAATGAATGGAAGGTTGCAAAGGACATGTATCTACAAAAGCTATAAAATTAAGCACGCTATTTTAGCTCTAACTTCAATAAAACTTTTGTTATATGTATATAAGGCAAATGTCCCATTTTCTTTGATTATGAAAAAGGATCTAAAATGAAATCCCCTTAACCACTGATTTTGGTTAGTCTGCTCATCTGCCATATCATATTTACCTTTGTTTTTTTAAAAATACTGTTTGGAAATGTGATAGCTGACAAAAAAATGTTAATATACAATTTTCTTTGAGACTCTTGAAAACCACAAAAATTTCCAATATCATAGTGACTACAAATTCTAACACTTAATGTGAAGTCATCATAACTCTTTGCATGCCACAACGACTCACACCTAAGGCCAACTTTTTCAGAATGTACTATAACTTGAATAAAATCAAATAGGGAGACATATACAAAATGGGAAATACAGTGTAGCTTCACATCACAGCTCGTGCTTGTGCATAAGACATTATGGAGGGAGTAATAATTTCACTTACACACTGACTTTATAAATGTGATCAGTGCCAATATCCTGTATATTTATGACATGGGTCTTTTTAACAAGAACAGGACAGCAGCATGGCAACCACTTTTCTAAGTATATTTTCTATACAAAATAATTCCAAGATATAATCATTAAGTTCTCATATAGTACTATTATTTTAAACAATAATCAATAAAGTAGTAAATATGTGAAAATTACAACACCACCAAGACTGAGCACTGCCATTTCCTAGTGTAATCAAAGTTGGTATTAGTACAGTCTTGGCAATGCAATGGTTGGACAATACAGGTATCTTATGCAGAGATTTCAGCAGCAGAATGGCACTTGGTTTATGCTCAATAGAAATGACAAAGATGCAGTTGACAATTTAAAGAAAGACAATGTTCTTATTTGCATGCTAAAATTCTAGTTGTGTCCCCTGTATTTGAACACTTTCAAATAATATTGTCTGTCTCTCTGCTCTGCCTAAGAGCTCTGCCCCATATTAGCTAACTATCTTATAGTACACTACTGAGCCGGTGCAGCTTACTTTCCCTTTAAATCAGAGAAGCGGAAAAGCGGCAGTCTCGTTCTGAAGTTTACTTTCACTTTTAAAGACGCTCAAAATCCGTAGTCTCGTTTCTCCACCAGTGCGGTTTGCTTTCCCACCTGTGCAGTTTGCTTTCACTTTAACTCTGAGACCCTAAAAAGTGGCAGTCTTGTTCTGATGTTCACTTTCACTTTAGGAGACCCCCATAAGTGGCAGTCTCGTTCTGATGTTCACTTTCACTTTAAGAGACCCCGATAAGCGGCAGTCTCGTTCTGATGTTCACTTTAAGAGACTCCGATAAGCTGCAGTCTGGTTTCTTTTTAATCCCCGTTTAACCTGGTGAAAATAAAAGCTGTATAGGAAAATTATCGCCCTACCTTGTTAACGTCTTCTCTTGATGACCGGAGCTCCTTTTCTAGGGCTGTTTAGAGCCCACCTTGTCCAGGGCCACTCTGCCGGGGAAGCCTTCCTTTCAGGTCCCTGTCTAGGCACCAAATGCTGGGAGCGCCTGCGTCCCTGGCTGTGGTCTGATGCCGGTAGAGTGTGAAGAGAGAAAGAAACACAGGCCAGGTGAGAGCAGTGAAGAACAAACTCTGTTTATTGATCTGAGGGCTCAGGCTTATATAGTACTGGATCAAGCAATAGTAACATTATTATTCATGAAAAGTACAAATCTAATTAAGTGATTTCCTTACTTCCTTGTACCTTGTCTGTTACATTCTTTCCTGCATCCTGTCCTGTACCCCATCCGTTTCCTGCTGCCTTCCTGCATCCTGTTCTCAAGAGACGGAACAGGGGGGTGGTGAGCCGACATCCTGAGTTTCACAGCTGTCAGGCTTAGTACAAGCTGCAGGTAAGATCTGAGCTGGCCTAAGCCCTCCAACTCCCCAAAGCCAGCCCTCTACAATAGTGTCTGCAGCCCTAGCTTGGAGATGTAGGGCTGGGCGTGAAACACTGATGTCCACAGTGGTATTGCTATCCCTTCTACCTCTTACCATCAGGAGGGAAGGCACCGGTTCCCACCACAGGGATTGCCAATGGTTCTAGAAGCCAGCAGGGGAGGGCCCACCCTTTTGCAGGTTTCAGGGGCCAGCAGCAGTAGGTGAGGGGCGGACGCAGGCTGGCCCTCAGGCCCAGTTTGCTCCTGCTGCTTTTGTCAACTCCCCAGGAAGCTAGGATGTCAGCAGCCCCACATAGGATCCTATAGAGGTCTTAGATCTTCCTCATGACAAAGACTACTGTTTCATTCTCTAGTTTTATTTTGTTATCGACATATTCTAGTTTATGTCTATGCAAAAATAAATATTGTCTTGGATCTGTCATTTCTTCTTATGTACCCCACCGAAGAAGCCACTTGCTTAAGTAGTGGGAGAAAAGTGTCAGGATTGTGGTAGAAACCCTTTCCTCAAAGGTCAGCTTCCCTTCTGCTGATGGAGGCCTGGAGGTTATTACCCTGAGCAGTAGAGGGAGGCAAGTTCACGCCTGGGCTTGGAGAAGCAGACCTGGTTCAGGAGGCCAGAAGGGGCTGCAGGAGGTGGAGCATTTGTCCTAGATCATAAGCAACCACTAGCAAAGCCAGAAAGGTAAGGGCCCCAGGTGCATCACCTTGATTCCCAGAGAAGAGCAGGGTGGTGGGGAATTGTGAGAAGAGAGGAAGTGTCTTCCAGATGGGAATTCCCCAACAAGTGGCTGGAATTTCACTGCCAGAGTATCCCCTCATGACAACATGTTCCAAAGACTCTTCCTTCAGAGCAGTGCTGTGTCCAGCCATGGGGAGACCGCATGTTCCCCAGAGATGTCAGTAGGAAAGAGGGACTGAGGCAGAAGGAATTCCGTGGATAGCAAAACAGAAATGGAAAGAGGCCTCCAGGAGACTCTGCTTTTCCTGTCATCCCATCTAGAGGGGGCACAAATAGCACTTGGGTGCCCCAAGGTCCCCCCAGCACTTCACAAAAGTTTTGTGCAAAAATCTCTCTCAACTTCCTACCCAGATGAAAAGATTTCTTCAGGTCCTTCAGATAGTCCATCTAAGGTCGACTCCAAATGAATTTGGGTAAAATGTAGTGCTTTGCACTGAGAGGCTCAGATTAGAGGAATGCCTTCTTCCTTTCTCTGCTAGCTTATTTCACTTGAGCCCTTAACTGTTTCCAAATTCACCTGTCATCTGTAACTCAGCTGAAGGCTTTACTATGATCTGAACCTACTTTGCAGAATTTCTCTGATCTAAGGAATGACTAGCTGATCAGAGGGCATGGCTTTACAAGGGATCTGCTGTCTTGGGAGCCTAGGTAACAAATGCATCTTTTTGTCTGGTGCACTGCTGTCCTCGTGTCTTTAAAGCAAACCACTTTATTTACCTAGGGAGGAGAAGTGCTTAGTATGTGATCAAACAGTTGTCCCACTGAGGTGTACCTTTGCTGCATGCCTCTCACCAATGTCACCCATGGCCATCCCTTGGATTCCACCTTTGCACCGCCTCTCCTCCATTGCACTCTGCCACATCTCTTGCATTCCACCTTTGCAGGATCTCTCAATTTCACCTCAACAGCACCTTTGAAAATCCATGCTCTCTCTCTTCTGACGTTGCCCCTCCCCTCCTCCAAGACTCATCACCTCACACTTGCAGTGTTGCAATACTTGCTTGTGGATCTACCTGCTACAACTCTCTCCTTACTCCTTTCAGTTCTGAAAGTGGTTTTGCTAAGGTGCATGTCTGTTTCACCCACCCATCCAACGTGAACCCCCTGAGCAAAACTCCAATTTTGAATACAATCAGCTCTAAGAATGAGAGAAAAGAAACTGAACCAGTGCGCAACGTGCTAGTAAAGTGCATTGTGCACGCTTCTGGAGAGAAGCCTAATCAACGATTTTTCACTCAATCTCAGCTTAGATTCATTTTGAACTAGAAGGCTTTATTTCTCCAAGGCCTTATTTCTAACAATTGTGGCTGCCCTCAAGGACCTTTCAGTCTGATGAGAGAGACAACAGGCAAACAACTATCTAGAAGAGATGATGTTTGGGAAGAATAGGAAAAAATCGCTAGAATGCAAAATGAAGAGAGGTTGGGGGAGGCTTTTTGTAATAGATGGAATCCACTCAATAGGAAAGGAAGAAAGAGTGAGGGTACTACACATCTGCCTCCTAGCTTCTAAATGCAGGGGGATACAAACCCAATTGAAAAAGGAAAGCAATCTAACCTGGTTCCCACAGTTATCTCAAGATAATCCACCAGATCTAGTAGGCCTATACTTGGCTTTCCTGGGTCTTCAAGGCAGAGATCTTACCAAGCCCTAGCGGTGGGGACCCTGGGTTGACAATTGTGACCCAGATGAACCTTGAGCCAAGGAGACTGAAGAAGAACACTCAAATATGTAGGAAGAAATTCAGGTGAGGGTGGAGCTTCTCAGATTTTACTGAGTTCACTGGACATACAGCCTCCACAATGATGTGGGGCTTCCTTTTCCTCTTATTCATTTTGGTGTCTTATCCTTCCTATTGCAAAGATCATTCCCCTTGGAAGAGAAAAGAGAAGCAAAGAAAAACATGAATAGCCCAGTTATCATTCTATTAGCCCCTTTTTTGTTGAGGAGTAGTCCAGGCCATTCTTTATACCTTTTTTTGCCCCCTGCAGCAATGTTTAAACACGTATGCACACACACATATATGCATGGGCACATACTCATATGCACATACATGCACACATACTCCATGGACATGAATACACAGCTATGCAAAGATGATTGTAATAACCATTCTCAAGTTATTTCAAGTTTTGGTTTTTTTAAGATGTGCAGTTTGTGGTTGGGAAAGTAGTTTAATAGTCAAAGAAATGAATGATGTTGAAAAATATAACACATATTATGGTATCTGTGATGTTCACACATGTGGAATTAACACCCATGAGCTTTACATACCACACTACCAATGCAATTACATGTTCCTTCTTAGCTGGGCCATGAGCCTGTGTCAATGGGGAAAAGGGTTGGTGGAGCCTCATCTCATCCTGTCTGTGTTAATAATTAAGGCTGTGTTAGAACTCCCAACCCTTCTGCTCTTCTAAAGCTTCTTCACAATAGACTCTCTCTCAGCACAATAGTGGGTGAGGAGAGAGAGACAGAGACAGAGACAGAGAGAGACAGAGAGACACGGAAACAGAGAGATGGAGAGACAGAAGGACACAGGGCAGAAATTTGGGTGCTCCAAGGTGAATGACTAGCCAGGAAAAGGGGCTGCTAAGTAGCTCGACAACAAAGAGAAAAAGGAGGACAGAAGACCCAGGAGGAAGGTGCAAAGGGGGCTGACAGTGTGATGAGGACTGAGCCCATCAGGCTGGTGAGTCTCTCATTGTGCTTGTGATTTAAACGGAAACATTGCCTTAAAAGCTAAAACCTTTTTAAAGAAACCCATTTTAATGAAGGGTTCTTTTTGCAGCCCCTTGTGAGGCCCTTCCTGAATTTGAGGGCATCCTAGAGTCTCTTTCCCTTATCTTCAGTTACCATAAAACCTACCCCCTATGCTGGACTGTCAAAATTCCTTGTCTCCCTCATGCTGAACCATAAAATTTCCCATCTCCCTTCTCCTAGGTCACCTATCCTGCCATCCATGTTCCTCATCCTGTGTCATGCCCTCCCCTGCCTTATTTTCTTAGATCAAACATACCCTTATCCCTTGGTAAGTTGCTAGTCCTCTTTCCAGAGCTAGCCTGCTGCTTTTGCATCAATAAAGCTCAGGAATGAATGAGGCAACTCTACATTTACCCCAGGTGCCTTCATCCTCTAAGGTTCTGGCTTAGTTGCCTGGCTTGGCAGAACTTTGTGCCCTCACAATATTCCTTTGGATGGTACCTAGCAACCTTTGGGGTTCCAGTAACAGAAGGCGAGATGCCATAGTACTGGCTACCAAATGAAAAAATGCCATGGCAATTTTTTTCTTCTTGTTCATTTATTCAGGTAAGCTACTTGTGGCTGTATATGACCCACGCCCAGAAGTCTGTTGTCCTTGTAGGCCAGTGAACATCTGCATTCCAGCTCCCACTCTGGCAAGCCACAGTACAATAGCAGGCGTGCAGTCTGTGCCCTCTCCGAGATCCCAAATGCTTGGGCCAAACAGCAGAAAGTGGCAGTTTGCCTTGCCGGGGCAGTTGTCTGGGCTCAAAATGGGGGCTTGGGAGGTGGTTTTGTCTTGTTCAATGTGAAGCAAGGGGCCTCCTTTTTAGGCATGTGACAGATGGGTGAGAGGTTGGGGAGGCCCTGGAGTGATGTCTGTGTCCATTTTAGGATTCTGGTTTGTTGGTGCCTGTTTGGTTTCTTTTGATTATCTCCTGAAGGCTTCCCCACAGGGACAGACGCAGCTTATCCTCACCCACTATATTTCACAGACTCTGGGGGCTGGAAGGCCTCTCAGAAGCCCTAGGGACAAGCCTACACCTCCAGCCCCATATCTCCCTTAGCCAGGCCGAGTCTGCCGGTCTGTACCCTCTTTCTATTGCCCAGAATAGCTTGGCCCCTCTCCTCCACGTGGCAGTCCTCTGGCATTTGGAGGTGGCTCTCCTGTTACCAGAAGCTCCCTCTGGGTACAGTATCCATCCACAAAGTTGGCCCCCAGAGCTCTCCATGCCAGATGTGGTCTGGCCAGGAGAGTGGCACTGTGTAATGCTACCCTCGTAATCCTGGACATTGTCTCTGTCTCTCTTTTCCTTCCCCTCTCTGTGTCTCTTCCTTCCCCTCCCTACCTCTCTCTCTCTCTCTCTCTCTCTCTCTCTCTCTCTCTCTCTCTCTCATATTTGTCCCTCTCTTTTTCTCTCAATGTCTCTGTCCTGTCTCTCTGTGTCTCTTTCTGTTTGTGGCCATGATTTCATCATAACACCAATGGATGCGCAAGAAGACCTTCACTCCAGTGTAACTGGCTTAGGCGTGGACAGCGATGGACATGGCATCAGTGAGTTGGTGCTGGCCCTGAGGCCCTCTCCTGTTGGCCTGTCCCCTGAGCAGGGCTCTGAGATGGGGTGCTCCCAAAAGTCGTGAGGGGCCCAGATTGCCATCAGGGGTGACTGGGGTGGAGGTCGGGCAGCACAGCCACAAAGCAGGACTGTCCATGTGGCCAAGAAGCACTCATAGGTGTCCTAGATCTTCTTTGGCATCTGTTTGATCTGTGAATGGCTCTGTTGAAGCAAGAAATGTCTCCTTCACTCTCCCCCCCTTTGGACTAGAGTGTGTGATTTGGTGCTTTGATGTCTTTGCATCTTTTGTGCCAGTGCTCCTTGGGAGCCTCCTCCTTGACCGCAAAGTGCTGCTCTTCTTGTTGGCTGCGGAGGCACAGCCCAAAGGGGGCCCTCTTTTTCATCTGATTCTTCAGAATAGGCCTGCACAGGCTGGCATGTAGAGGTCACTTGGGATCACTCTGACCTTTTTTCTTGTTGTTCTCTTTTAGGTAGTGCCATTTCCCCTGTAGCAAGGGCAGGAAAGCAAGCTACAGAGCAGGTAAGAAGTGTGCACACCCACTTTGAGAAACCCAGCATGTTTTCAAAAGACATGAAGGTAATCCTCTTGCAGGGCTTGGGAATGTGGGCCCTACTAGTCACCAGGAGTCTTTAAAACACCTGTGGCTGTGGAAACAATCCCCTGATGGGCAGGGGAGGCCAGCAGGTGGGCCAGGAGGTGTGGTGGATGGTATCTGTCTGCCTTTGCCCAGCATCAGAGCCCGTATGGGGCATGTACACTATGACCACCCCTTGCCCTTAGGCGTGACCACAGGGTCTTCCCCTAAAGATGGTGGGAGTTCATTTCTTATGAACATAGATTTTGTAAGAAGAGAAGAGAGCAGGAACAGGTGAGGCCAGTGTTCAAGTTGTTTGAAAAGCTGCTTTTCTAGACTCCCTTAAGGTACCCGCCTGCTTTGTTCTCTTGGGGTTTCGAAGCAGACTAGTCAATTTGGTGCTCTATGTGCATGTGTGTGCATATGTGTGTGTAGAGGAGACCATCCCTGCTCTCAAGGGGCCCTTTTCTAATGGGGCACATGCCATGCCCTGTCTGAGGTCCTTAGGGTAGAGCTGTGCCCATGTTCCCGGGCTCTTTGGCAGGGGCAAGTCCCTCTGGTGTGCCTCTGGCATGGGGTGGGGAGGTGGTCCACCTAGTAGGCCCCTTTCTGAAGCCAGCCCTGGACATGCTGCAGGGTGAGAAGCAGCAAGTTAAGGAGCTGCAGGCCCTCATGGAAGAGGAGCAGAGGCAGAGTCTGGAGAAGGACCAGCTGAAGTCCAGGACCCTTGAGGCAGATGCACACACGAAGCCTGGAGGGAAGCTGTGGTGCCCATTGCTAGTGGCAGCCCCTGGACATGCAGGGGTGGACAGGGCACGAGGAAGGCTTGGGGCAGTTGGCGAGTGTAGACTCGGAGCAACTGTGGCATTTCCCAGTTTGTGTAGCAGTCAGTAGCTGTGACTGATTGAGGGAGGAGGCCCAGGCCAGGCCAGGCTGCAGCTGTGGCCCTTCTTTTCCCCACCCAGGAACTGCAGGTGTCTCAGGAGGAGTACAGCCAGATGTGGCAGCTGGTGATCAGCTTGCAGCTAGAGCAGAAGGAGAAGAAGAAGCTCCAAGAGAAGCTTGAGGCTGAGCAGTGGCGCTGCAGGGCACTCCTGTGCCAGGAGCGCAACCAGGCCCTGGAGTTGCAGAGGGCTCTGGAGGTGGAGCGTGCCCACTCAGCTGAGCTCAGGGCCTCCGTGAACCGGAAGCGCCTGCTCATGGAGCCCCTGAGCAAGCTCACCCAGGAGGTGTGCAGGCAGAAGGAGGCCCTGATGCAGTTTGCCTTTGAGGGCAAGCTGAATGAGGAGAAGTTGCAGGCAGCCCAGCTCCAGGCCCTTCTGGAGGATGCCTGCCAGCAGGGCATGGCCAGCTGGAAGCAGCTGGAGCTGGAGGTCCAAATGACCCGTGAAGAGCTCAGGAAGGAGAAAGAGGTGAGAGCACTGCTACAGGCCTCAGGACATGCCCTCCAGAGGCAGGAGCAGGAGCAGGAGCTGCTATGTTATCTGGAAGGCGACAGGGCCAAGCAGGGTAGGCTACACAGAGAGCTGGAGCACTTAGAGACCAGGCCGAAGGAAGAGGCTGGCAAGGAGGCCAGGAGGGAGAAGGAGAAATGACGTGAGCCTAAAGCAGAGGAAGACAAGGGCAAAAAGGGCAAGAAAGACCAGGAGAGGCTACTGAGGCTCGCCTGCCCTCAGAACACCAGGGTGCTTGGCATCTGACTTCTGGCGCCTGGGTGCCCTCTGTGACCCACCTTCCTGCCTGGGGGAGGGCTCTGGGGGACAGGGAATATCAAGCTGATGTTCTCTCAGGGGGGCAACCCCCCTACAGATGCAAGGTTGCTCCAATCTCCGTGCAGAATACGGTTAGGTGGGAGGCTGAAGTGCATCAGGAAGCCAGGGAGAAGGAGCAAGAAGATTGCAAGAAGGAGACACAGCCAGAGGAGACTGAAATGGCAGAGACCTTTCTGCTGGAGCTTGTAGGTAGGCAGGAGCCCCTGGATTTCTTGAGAAGGAGAAGAGGTGACACCTGAGAGAAATCTTTTTGGCAGCAGCATGAACCATGGATGGTGGATGGGGACCAATGAGGGACTGCCAGGTGAGAGGCAAGGAACTTGGACAATGTCTCTGGAGAGAAGAGATGACATGGGTGTCGAAAAGACGAAGCCATAGATTCTGTAAGAATTGAGGGGAACTGGGAGGATTGCGGTATCCTCCACAGATAGCGGAAAATCCAGAAAAAAGGGTGGGTTAGGGGGAGAAAGCAACGGGTTCTGACACATCAAGTTTGAGAATGTTCAGAAGAGACAGGGCCCAATATCTGCAGGAAGGAGTCATCTGCATGCAGGTGACAGCTTGGGCCCATGGGAAGTGGGAGGAGAGCAAGAGAGTGGTGAGCCGGGGGTGGGCTGCTCCAGTTGGGATTTTGATGAGAATGGTGGCAAGCCATTGATATGTGAGTGGGCAAGTGGTTGTAGAGAAGGATACAATTCCCCTTGGTTGCTTCCCTATGGACCTTTTAGAGGAGTGAAATTATCATGAAATAAGCCCAGGAATTATGGGCTGAGGTCTTGGCTTGAGGATATAATCTGCTGGGGACAGGAGAAGGGAGGTATCCAAGGTGAGAAGGGGAGGAAAGGAGGAGGAGATTGTGGGGGAGGGGACCATGGGATAAAAATGAGGGGGAGGGGACGTGAGAGAGCCCAGTGCTGGGGGTGGGAGATTGAGAGGTTGGGAGCAAAAGGACTGTCTTGTTGCAGTCAGTGGGGGCTGAGTCAAGACCAGATGACATGGACCAGAATACAGTTTGAGAAGAGGCGAGGTGGGCGGTGGGAACAAGGGCTTCCTGAGCAGTGGCAGTGGTTAGCAACAGTCCTCTTCGACTTAGACTCATGGCCAGCCTTGAGAACTTTGTGGGGTGGCAATATTTCTCAAGGCAGTGTGTTTCAGGGCCCTGACTACCAGACAGGGAAGAAGGAAGAAGAGCAGTAGTCCAAGGGCTTGGATTTGGATCGTGCCTCTGTGTCTCTTATGGGATTAGCTGTGTGACCTTGCACAAAGCACCTCTCTCTCTGGACCTCAGTCTGCTCATCTCTCAAACTGGAGAGTAGGGCCAGCTTGCTTGCAAGAGTCCCTTCCACTTGTGATTCTGTGCTCCCCAGCCAGCCACCAGTGTGCCTCTGTAAACCTGGCCCAGAGTCAAGCATTAGCCCACACACCCTGTGACCTTTCCTAGGAGGCTACATTTGTCCCAGCTGGAGCCTTTTCCCTGATGGA